GCATCTCGGCTTCAGTCTCTTTCCCACTGATGTAATGTTGCTTCCCTCTGCCTTTTCTATAAATACTTTCATAGCAATTGATCGGATGAGTTCTTCGCTATGGTATCTAGACTTTATACTTTTAGGTGCAGTACAAGATTAACAACAAGGTCTCATAAATTCACAGTTGAATTGGTTAGATGTAGCCGTAAGTTCTATGCTAACAGTTTCTTTTCTCGCACTTCTCCCTGGGGGAATTCACTTCCGGTTCCATGTTTTCCAGTTAACTTTGATCTTGATAGCCCCAGAATCCATCTTACATATCTATAAGTAGAGAGATGGAAAAAGTGTCTGACAACGACATAATTCCCAGAGACTCAGAAATTGGCACGTAACCGACATATTTGGGGGTAGCTGGTCAGGTTCTCAGTAACACACCGACCCAACGGCCACACCCAAAGTAATTCCTATTGGATTTCTTATAATCATGCGTTTCATATTTCCCCTACCATTTCGATGGTGATCATCTTTCACCAACCATTTCGATGGTGGTCATCTTTTTATGATGCAAGGATTTTTTTTTCTGATGACATAATATTTTTCTGATGACATAATATCACATGAATGTTAAGAGTCTGTTTTGACCGTTTTAATTTTAGTTCTAAAGTTGGTATCTGTGCTGATGACAAAATACTCCTGGCTTTGAGGATAAGCTACACCCATCAGAAAGAACTCTGATCAGGTGGTTTTAAACCGGGTGGAATCACCTCATAATTACTGTTGTTCCCAGGTCCACCCTGACCCGGAGTGTTACCGTCCCAGATCTGGTCATTAATGAACCCCTCAAACAAAAACAAAACACCATGAAAGTATAATAATGCAGTTTTATGAAGTTACTAGCAATAAATATTTATAATAAAATGACCAACAATAAATAGTTATACTAAAATAATCAGCAGTACATATTTATAGTGAAATAACCAGAAATACATATTTATACTAAACTGACTGACTTTACTAAATGACGAGCAATACATATTTATATTAAAATTACCAACCATACATATTTATAGTAAAAGAACCATCAACACAAATTTATATTTAAATGATCAATAAAACATATTTATATCAAAATTACCAACCATACATATTTATAGTAAAATGACGAGAAATACATATTTATAGCCGGGATTACCAACGATGTATTTAGTAGCGGAATGACGAGCAATACATTTTTCTTGTATTTATCGGTTTGCAATTACATTCAAAATATTAGTTTTTCGGCATTAAATAACCCATAGAGGTGTTGATATGCCGCTAAACAATGTTAGTCAGTCCAACTTGCTGGCACAAACATTTCCTCCGGTCTCGATAATAAGTCTAATCTCCTCGATAAGGTGGAACTGGACAGATGTTCTAAAAAGAAAAATGACTTACTATTTGTTGTTAACTGGGATAACGACTGGCTTTTTAATTTGAATGCCCCCAAAACAAAACTTCACTCTATTAATCACCTGAACGACCCATTTCTGCCTTCCATCACCATGGCTGATGCTAACCTCTATTAGACAGTCACGTTGCACCTTCGCGGTCTCATATTCTCAGTTGATATGAAGTTGTAAAACCTGATTGAATCCATTGTTAGGTCTGCTGTTTAGAAAGTCCGGTCATTGTGTCGTGCGAGAGATTTTTTCTCTCCAGAATCTATCTTGCATATTTATGTCTTCAATTCGACCATGTTTAGAATAGTTCTGCCACATCTGGTCCGTTACTTTCGCTGTATATTTAGAGATCATTGATACGATCCAGGAAGAATTTGCAATGTTATTTGTCCTGACATGGCTTCTCGGCTTCGGTCCTTTCCCCACCGTTGTAACATAGATTCCCTGGGACATTTCTATAAATATTTTCATGGTAATTCTTCGAATGAGCTTTCGTGATTGGCAGCTTGACTTTCTGAATTTAAGCGTAGTACTAGATTGTCGGCAAGGTCTCATCTATTCACAACTGAATTGGCTAGATGCAAGTGAAAGTTCTATGCTAACAGTTTCTTTTCCGGAACTCCTCGCTTTTGGAACTCTCTTCCGGCGACATGCTTTCCAGTCAAGTTTAATCTTCAAAAATGTCAATACAGTGTCAATCCATATCTCCAGTTTTCCTGATTACTCTCCATTTCTCACACTCTGATGTTTCTCTTTATTCTTGTTCTTCCAAATCTAGACAATAAAGCTAAGCAATAAAGCTAGTAAGATGCAGGGAGTTACTGAGTGTGAAAGAATACGTGAAAAAGAAAAATACATTACTAAAGAGCCAGAACAACAAACGAACTGGAAATAAGAAGACAGACAATAACGATTGAAATTATATCGAAACTTTAGAAACTATAGATTCATATAATTGCTGTAATTTTCTAGTTACAACTTTACCCATGTTTTAATTTCCGTTCATTTATGTCGACCTTTACACACATCCCTTGTATAAAGGGTAATTTTTAAAACATGGAATGAAGTATCGATGTGAAATAAATTATTATTTTGGTGTGTTTTCTTGACAGTTGGTGCTAGTCAAATGCAATTTCTAATATGTATCTTTACAGAAGACAAAATAACCTTTTGTTTTTTTTTTAAATGATCGCTACTCACTCCCAAGTTTGTTGTTATGTTTCTATTCTCTTTCCTTAAAAACGTGGTAAAGCTAATGAAATATCATTGGAGTACAGAATTACGATATATCTTTTCTATTCTAACATTTTCTACACTGTACAAGTTAAGTTACTGTTGTGTGTAACGCGTCCATACATGACGTGGGAAAACGTGGCTCTCCACAACTTCCTATTATTCATCGCTCTTTTAACTTTTAAAACCAATGTCAATCATCTTCTATTTTTCTTTAACCCTTTATTTTTATTGTTGTTTCGACTCAATAAAGTTTTTAAAGTTTCTTTCGCTCTCAGTGACCCCTTGCGTCTTAGTGGCTTCATCGTCTTGCTTATCCTTCCAGTCCCTGTTTCATTATCCATTTTCACTAGCTTATTAAGTAGGTTTCTCTCTGTTCCACTTACCTGTGAGTGTTAAATTCTTCATGCCTTTTTCCCCTCATTATGTGTACCAGAAATTTCAAGTAATTTCCTAAAAACCTCCTGATTGCACACATGTTCATTCTATGACATTCCCAGCATGCTTCTGTATAAGAATGTCTCAGTTTGCCACGAGTTATATATTCATCTATGAGGAAACAAGAATTGGTTTCAAATTCGAATGTCAATGTCAACTGACTAAATAGAGAATAAAAAGAAGCGTAAGAAAAAAAATAGCGGCTTCCTTGCAATACAGGTTTGATCCTCTTTTAGATTGACCAAAGATTGAATACAAGTTTTTTTTTTATAATTTGTCATCGGGTGATAAGCCTTCTTTTGATATTTGATATCCTAAATATGATATCTTCTTACAGTAAAAAAATACATTTGTATTTGTTCATAGTCATGCTTGCCTTTTTTAATCTCATTAAAATTTGCTCTGTTTTATATTTTAATTTTTCTTTAGTTCTTGTCCCTACACATATATCATCCTGGTATATTATTATATTTTTTACTTTTCCTAATAAGACTTTTTCAATTGTTTTTTTGAAAAATGTGGCCAAAAGTCTTAACTCCTAGAACGCTATAAAAGGTCATCTTAGTAAGCCTATAGGGGGTGTTTTCATGGTGATTTCCTTGAATTTCTCATCAATTTCTATTTGGTTGTATGCTGCCTTGAGAGGAATTTTTGCAAAGTGTTCTTGTGATTCGCAGTTTCAATATTTGGCAAAAGAAAAGAGTCTGAACATTGATGATGATTTACCCCCTATCTTGTAATCACCACAAATTCTTAAATCTCCATCAGGTTTCTTTATCACTATATTGTTTTCCCAAAAAAACCTCCTTGAGTTACTCTTTTCTAGTATGCCTTGTTGTATCATTTTGTTTAATTTGGCTACCACCAAAAGTAGGATATGAATTGGAACTTTTCATGACTCTATATATTTTGGGTGATAATTTCTTTTAGTCGAATGCTTGCTTTATAACCTTTCAATAATCAATTCAGGTCGGTAAATGTTGTTAATACTGTTTATTATAAACAGTGCATTTACTTAAATATTTGTATCTATAAAAAGAACGTTTAAACATAAAAAATGTCTTAAAATAATTGTCGGACTTTGTCCATTTCATAATGTGTGACGTCATTTGTTTACATTTGGATACGCATCGAGCAGAAAATCGAGAGAAAATCACGGAGAATTGTAGTGTAAAAACAATAAAATCGACCTTGCTAACCGAAACGCCCCTCTGTAGCTAAATCGGTAAAAGCACGTCAAGCTATATGACGGTTCCGTATAGGATACAGGTTCGATTAAGACGTAAGTTTAATGTTCATGCTTAGTAAAAATATTTAAGAATTTAAATTCTAATTTCTTGTGGGTCTCAAACATCTAAACTTTATGTTATGTGGCTCTTACATTAAGGAAGTTCGACCACCCTTGCTAAAGGGCATCCCAATGGAAGACTTGGTTGATTTGCAATTTTATCGGAGTAAACAAATTTCATATTTTGAAGAATTGTAATTATTTGTGTTATGAACACTTCACTAGAAATGTAACTTTTCTGTCACTCACCATTTGATGTCTTTTCTTGAAGCTATACAAGCAAGTAGGTGGTTATGCTGGAACTTTTTCAATGCTGTCTTTTATGTTGTGATTATTTTGAATGTAATTATAACTTTTATACGATTAATATCTCTGAAATTTGCTATTGTCATCTTGAAACTGCTGTCATGTATTGTCGCTTTTAGAATGTAATTAAATCTAAGAAAACATTCTTATTACCTCAGATATTTGGAAAAATATTTTTAAGGAAATTAATTAATTTTTCTTTTTTTTTTCGCCTTTGTTTAATTTTTTCCTGTGGCGGTTAATTTCTTTCTTTCTTTCTTTTTTCTTTCTTTCTTTTCTCTCGTCCTAACTCATTTTCCCTTTTCTTCTTTCAGCATCTCATCCTCTTCTATCTATCTATCTATCTATCTATCTATCTTATTGCTACTGCTTGTTTCCATCTAGTAGTCGTAATAAAACATGTCTTATGTTGCAAGAATTTCTTAGATTATTATTATTAAATTCGGCTCTCGTCTTTCTTTGTTTCTTATTTTCTCCCATTTTCTCTTTCTTTCTTTCTTTCTTTCTTTCTTTCTTTCTCCTATTTTCTCTCTCTTTGTTCCACTCTCTCATTTTGCTCTTTCTTTCTTTCTTTCTTTCTTTCTTTCTTTCTTTCTTTCTTTCTTTCTTTCTTTCTTTCTTTCTCAATGAAATATACTATCTAAATACACGTGGTCAAACATCGCATGGTATTCTTTCAGATAAGCAATATGGCTTTCGCTTCTCTATGTCTCTTGCTGATGTATTAACAATTATTTCTGAATGAGTCGATCAAGCTTCATATAAGGACATCTCGAAAGCATTTGACAGGAGTTCGCATACAGGTCTTCACAAGTTGAACGATTATTGTATTTCCAGACACATTTTTGAACTAATTCAGCCTTTTCTTATCAAATCGAGAAATGAAAGTTGTCCAGAATGGCCACTCTTCTAGATCTTTCTGTATTAATGCCGGTGTCTTTCAGGGATCTGTCCTTGAATCTATGTTGTTCTTAATTTTTATCAATGACCTTCCTGATGGCATCAGTTCTCAACTAAGTATCTATCCTGATGATATAATTATTTACTCCTGTCTTTATAGTAATTCTGACAATTGATCTCAAAAATGGCCTACAACCTGCCGTTAACTGGAAGAAGGAATGGCTTTCTAATTTTAACGCCTTTAAAACGTAACTGCTATCTATCGATTATATGGCTGATGCTAACCTCCAGGAGAATGACTTATTATGCCTTGTCGGGTTAATATTTTCCGTGGAAAATAACCATGAAGACGATAATTGTTTTCTATCTTAATTTAGATAGTGTTCATTTTTGTACTTATTGAATCATCTGCTAGGTCTGATTCTGATATGAGATTGTCTATCATTCACTGCCATATAGGAGGACCGATATTCCATAACAGTTCCGGACTCTTTTCTTAGTTATCATTGAAATCTTCCTATTTCTTAATACTTTGCTTAGTTGTTGGAAAGCATCTTTCTCTAGCCTAATGTACTTTCGGATTTCATTATCACACGTTGCCTCCTCTGTTAAAACATTTTCAAGACGTTTCAGTTTTTGTAGTTGATTGATTTTGGTATCTCGAATTTGTCATTTGAATGTCGGGCTGTTCTTTTCGCTGGCAACCATATATTGTGTCTTCTTGCAGTTGATGTTTAGTCCTTTCTTCTCGCTTTCCTTCACTACTCTCTATAGGAGTTCTTGCAGTTTACTTTCTGTTACACCCGACGTTAATGTGGACTTTTTTAAATCATCAGATTTTTAAAGAACACTAGCTTGTAACCAGTTCCGGATTTATTTAAAGGTTTAGCAGGCTAAAACCTAAGGTTTCAAAATCTAGGAGCCCTCCCACTAGGGTATATAATATTTTTGACACTGTCATAGGCCTTTCTTACACATGCTGCTATAAGTCATTGTAGATTCTAAATAACCTTTCGGTAATTTTAAACACAAATCATAATCCTTGGCTTTACTGAAATTGTTTAATTTAATATTCTTCCATTTTCCTCTACTCGTGAGAATGAAGGATTTGAAGGGGCCTTACAGGTGGAATGGCCTAGGCTCTCTCTTCCTCTAAAACCGGCCCTTGATGGAACCACCAGAATCTTGCTTACGACACTGGCAGCAAAAGGTTGTTTATAAGGCTGAGACCGTCGAATGTAAAAAAAAAAAAAAACAAAACAATAAAAAAAACCCCCAAAAAACCATAACTTTCTACCCAACGAAACGCATTGGTGTGGCTTCGAACGTGTCCTTATATGGAGTGGGAGGATCACATGTCGTTACAGTGAACTATTTTAAATTTTTGAACTTTGAAACGAAGACCAAATGCTACAAGTCTTTAAGTTTATGATATCCTGCTTGGCCTTGAATTTGTAATTTAACACTGAATCAAGTCAACAGTTCTACCGAAACAAACGTCTGTGACTTCCGTTGAGTAATCACGTACATAAGTTTAGACTTTTAACTGCATTAAACTTTACGCTGGATACTTGCTAAACTTTATGGATATCGTAGGGAGAGTCAGCTTGAACAATATTTACCATTTTGGGTAGTTCGAAGTATATCTTTTAAACATTTGGGGATCAATTTTAATAGTGCTTTAATTTGGCGTTAACACACACACACACACACACACACACACACACACACAAAACATATATATATATATATATATATATATATATATATTGATGAAAGGATATTTTAGAAATCCATGGTAATAATTTATTTCGTGAAATCAATAATATCTCGTCTCTTCAGACCAAACAATTGTACAACAATTTTGTAAAATTGTTTGGTCTTAAGAGACGAGATCTGATTGATCTGCGAAAAAAATTATCACCATGGATTTCTAAAGTATCCGCTTGAATCATTATTATATTTGATCAATAACATTGAGATTCTCTTTGAAATTATCATTACTAATTATCAAATATTACACACACACACACACACACACGTATATATATATATATATATAACTTATATATATATATATATATATATATAGAGAATATATATATATAATCATATTTGTTCTACATTCTGTATTGAGTACTCTTTTAAGAATAGTATTTGTTGGTTATTGAACGTATATATAGAATATATTTTTTATTTTGTATATATATATATATATATATATATATATATATATATATATATATATATATATATATATATATATATATATACAACGGCCGAAAAGTTGTGAATGGGAGAATTAAGATGAGGACAGCCTCATCAAACTGTACAATTTTTGTGGTGGCTTATGTTCCGCCATATTATACTCTTTGCTTGGGATATATTATAAGGCGCGACATATTGATCAATGTATATACTGAATACCAGTATTCTGTTGATGCCACTCGACCACATCCAGATATCACGTGGTGAATTGATTTCGGAGATTGCTGTTATTATTATCTTTAATGCATTAATGTATTAATTTAATCTCGAAGAAGACATTTTCATGTATTTTAATGTTTTCAGCATTTAATTTCTTACGCTTGCGCATTTAAGTATATTACGATTTTTTAAAATAGTTTTTTTTAAGTATCTTTTTATGTACCATTCGATCTTTTTTAAGTAAATTTTTAAGTACTTTTTGATAATTTAAGTAACTCTTTTAAGTACCTTTCGATCTTTTAAGTACCTTTCTTAAATATCTTTTAATGTTTTTAAAAGTACTTTTTTAATTATCTGTCGATCTTCTCTAAGTACCTTTTAGTTAAGTACCTTTTGATCATTTTAAGTACCTTTTTAAGTACTATTCTTAAGTATCTTTCGATCTTTTTAATTACCTATTTTAAGTACCTTTCGATAGTAACTTCGATCTTTTTTTTAAAGAAATCAAGAATTAAAAACACTTAATTCAACCTATCTATTTTTTATTTATTTTTATTGAAGTTTTTGAACTAAATTTCTACTTTTCTTCATCTTGTACAGATTTTTAAATATTAAATTCATTTCCAGAATCGTTAACTGGAAAAGATGTCTTATTAAAGCGAATATCAAGTGCCAATGGCCATATGACAAAATCCTATCAACGTAATGTGTTTAATAATTCAGTGTTTCTGCGGTGGCAACCCGAACATTCATTGATAATATTTTTCTTTTTTTTTTAAATTTTGTGCTAAGGGGAAAATGTAAATGTGCTTGAAGATCTGAATGAACGAATAAAAAAAGTAAATAACCAAGAAAACGATAATTGTTTTCTATCTTAATTTAGATAGTGTTCATTTTTGTACTTATTAATTCTCGTCTTATGAACTTTGTTTTACGAATTATTAATTCTATTTCTGTGTTTGTTTTTTTCTTGGACGAGCGTCAGGTGGTCTGGACAGTCTCCTAACGTGCAAGTGGTCGCTGTTTACGAGGAACACAACATTGCTTTACCTCCTCTTTTTTAAATAATCGTTCACCCAACGTAATACCCCAAAGCCCACTCAAAGTAGATCTTTAATGACTGACGCTGTTGTATGGTAGCTTAGATGTGGCACAAGGCTGAAATTGTATAGCTCCCAGTACGAATGGAAATCACGATTCAGTCGTAATTGATATAGCGAGACAAGCTCACTGACTATTAAACTATATCAAAGTGCCCATAAATTATTTTCTAAGCGTAGCTTAGATATCACACAAGATTGAAAGTGTTACGCACCCAGTAAGGATGGAACTAGCTATTCACTGGTAATTGGTCTAGCGAGACAATTGCACCACATTGAAGGGTGCATAAACTATTTTCTGAGCGTAACTTAGATATGGCAGAAAGGTGAATGTGTGACGCACCAAGTGAAGATCTAACACAATAGGCAGTCGTAACCGATCTAGCGAGACAAGTTTGTTAACCATTACACCACCTCGACGTGCCCATAAATGATTTCATAACCGGAACTTAGATGTGGCATAAGGTCGAAAACGTGGAGCACCCAATGAGGCTGGAACACACTACTCAGTTGTATATGATCTAGCGAGACACGCTTGTTAAGCATTACACTACGTCGAAGTCCCTAAAATGATTTTCTAAGTTTAACTTAGTTGTGGCACAAGGCCGAAAGTGTGGAGCATCAAGGTATAAGCGTAAGAGGATGGAGTAAGAAGGGGAGTTTATGTCGATATGTGGGAAAAGATAACGCCCAACCCTTGATGTGAAGAGGTTAAGATTGTAGCGATCGGGGTAGTAACCTCTTGGGGGGTATGTTCCAGAAAGTAGCGTTGCTTATACAGAAACTGTCTAAATAAGTAAACAGAAATGAAAGTAAATTGAATAAATTTTGACAAATAGTAAAGAAATAGAAATGAATAAAATGAAATGATCTTCCGGTTCACAATCTTCCCAGTTTTTTTTAACACGACTAGAGGTTTATTCATTGTTTCCTGTTTAGGATTTTTGCTATCATTTAAACCCAGGCAAGGGAATAAAGCCACTGAGACACAATGGATAACTAAGTGTGAATGTAATATTAAGAATCGAGAACAATAAAAGAGTCTTCTCTTTCACTTAGTGACAATATCGCCTTGCGTGGGTTGGGGTGAATTGTTTAAAAATAAACAGTTTAAATAAAAATAAATAGAGAAAAATCAATAAAAAATAAACAAAAGGATAAAAAAAAAAAAAAAAAACGAATGAATAAAAGCAAGTAAATAATAGTAAGCATTCGTTTAATTCAGTCCTTTGGCGGTGATAGAGGAGTGACCTCCCCTGGACGAATGCCTGGCTGATTAAATATGAAGGCCGTGGGCTGATCAAACTACATGCCGCCCCCGTCTCAGCCATACCGACAAGATTTAAAGGAATACAGGGGAATACATTTGGAGGCGGCTTGTCTGCAAGAGTTGCCGGCAAGTTGTCACTAGTGACAGTCAACCGCCATCGGGGCTCCACTACAAGTTTTCTGATTGGATTTATTTCCATAGTCTTTTTCCGAAATAAGGATAATAAATCGTTTAAAATAAAACTGAAAAAAGTTAAAAAAAATATCTGAAAATATCAAACAAACGACGTACAAAAAATCAAAAGAAGGTACGAAAAACGAATGAATAAAAACAGTTAAATAAAAAATGATAAATAGTTTGAAATAAAAAAACAGATCATACGACAATAAACAATTAATAAAACCAACTAATAAAAAAAAATAATTAGTATAAAATTAAATCAAAATAAACAAAAATGAATGAAAAAATGATTACAAAGATAAATTTAATAAATAAAAATCCTCCTCCTCTTCCCCATCATCATCTTCATCATCATCATCATCATCAGTAGAATCTGATAACCTCCTTCAGGATCATCTGTGGGTTGTGGCTCTCAAGAGTTCTGGCATTATCATGCCCGTTCGCACTTAGTTGTTGTCTGACCGACTCTTGCGTTTCCATCCCCGCCTGCGACCCCTTTCAGCAGTGACTTGCGTGATGGTCATGCAGGGGCATGCCGTGTGACGTAGCCAAACCATATCATCTTCCGGCGCTTACTAGCAGTGAGGGGAGATTCCTGTCAGCCGACGAGTTTGTTCCGTATATGGTCGTTGGTTTTGTGCTCTCAGTAGGAGACACGGAAGAGCATTCTGTGAGATTTATTCTCAAACGCCGGGATCCTTTTTCATCTCTCAGCTAGTAGTGTCCAAATTTCACACCCGGTAGAGGAGGATTGGTACGACCCAAGATTTGTAGAAGCTGACTGAACAGGAAACTGATATCGCTCTCTTACATATCCTTTCTAGTCTGGCCATCGCTGCTGTCGTTGTGGCGACCCGTGTGCTCATTTCTGTGCTACCGCTGACATCTTTTGATTGAGTTGTTTCCAAGTATTTGAAGCTGGAAACTTCCAACACTCACTCGTTCGGTTTCCATGTTCGATTTTTCTCCGTTGAGTTCCATTTCATATGCGCCGACAGGCTTTGGTTAGGTTCAAAGAATTCAAATAAAAATTCGGAAGAATAAAATTTAATGAATAGACAAATTGTAAAATAAACAAACTAATATATTAATGCAAATAAATTCAATAATCAAAATAAATGATTTTTCTTTTTTTTTAGCGGCATATCAACATCCTTATGGGTCATTTAATGTTGAAATTTAATTTTTTGGGGAGCATTAGTAATTTCTTTTACAAAAATGTATTGCTGGTAGTTTATTTTACTATGAAAATGTATTATTGGTATTTTTACTATAAAAATGTATTTTTATACTTTCATAGTGTTTTGACCCCAGTTTTAGGGTTAACTAGGGAATTGACACAATTGTAGGAAGAGATGTGTATAAGGATTAATCTTTCACTTGAAGAGGTCAAGATTCCAATGAAGATCTGTTCCACAAATGGATTGATTCGATTTTTTACGGCTTATCAACCATTTGCGGGTTATTTAAAGCCAGAAAATATTTTTAGATTTGAAGAATATTTTCTGGAGACAATAATGATTTAGTGATACAAATTTTACTAATTAACCCATAGCTGGGGGAAGAAGAGGTGAATTCATACCTTTACCAATAGTATTTGCGCGTAAGTGAATATAACGAACCCAACTGGAATTGGAACTCGGCTCTGTTCCAAGGCATTATCTAATACACCACCGCACATCCAAACTTACACTACCCACTATTCCCAAGCAGTCACCCATTTAGGTAGTGACCAAACTTGACGTTGCTTAACTTCGCTGATCCTAATCCTGTTCTGTGAAGTATCAGTTTTGGAGAAAAAGGTGTCTAAGTGCAACTTCCTCTTTACAATTGGAATACGGCGGAAAGGAGAGTGATGCCATTCCCTAAAAGGAGCGAAGTGTGTCCTTGCTGAAAAGGTCTGAAATGGTGGAACTAAAGAGGTCGTCTTAACTTTTGTTCCGGAAATAGTGACAGGTTTGTAATGTTGCGTCTGTGGAAGAAGCTGTGTGACTTTAATCATTTTTGGAAAGTCAGGGTCAGCTAGATTTATAGCATTCAATAATTTTTTGGTTCAATTTGACTCTTATATAAAGATAAAACAGATCAAGTGTTAGTTAATTTCTGACCATATAAGATGACATGATCATTTTTCTATTATCTTTATAAATGGATCGGAGATATGAGTTCCATTTGAAGTTAGTAGAGAACTTGATACCAAATAGACGTTGGAAGCAAAGTTGCCGTGCGTGATACGGCAATCTTTCGATATATGACTGACGAGGCACAATTTTTCCTGCACTAGGTTGGTATTTCTTCCTGCAGTAGACCAGTTGCCATCCAAGGCTATAAAACCGGTCTGTTCTTATATTTACCCACAGCGGTGGGGAGGGGAGAAGAAGAGGGTTCATACCTTTTCCAGGGCTATTAGTACGTAAGTAATGGATCTGACTGGAATTAGAACTCGATTCTCCGATTCCACAATCCGTGCCGCTATCAATTACTCCATTTATGCCATAATAAAAGTTATCTTATGGATAGAAGAAAACTTGTAACCGAATATCATTTTTTATATTAATTGATGTGATTTTTTACGGCTTATCAACTTCTTTCAGGTTATTTAAAGTAAAAGAATCTTTTTAGATTGTAAGAATTTATTTTGAGATAATAATAATAATAATAATAATAATAATAATAATAATAATAATAATAATATCACGGATACATCTCCTACTAATTCACCCATAGCTGAGGGAGATAGAAAGATGTATTTATAACTTTACCAAGTGTATTTTACCCACCGACTGGAATTGAAACTCGGCTCTTTGACTCTCAATTCGTTATCCATTACACCCGCCGCACATCAAGAGTTACAGCACCTGATATTACCAATCGTTCACCCATCTACGTACTGACTAGGCTCAACGTTTCTTAACGTCGATGATCATACAAGAACCGATGTTTCAACGTGATATGGCCGTAAGACAGATCTTAAAAGCGATGAACAAGGATAACTGATAATAAAATCAACTGTGCTTGTATCTTTTCTGCTATCAGTCCAACTGCGCAGAGAGATGCCAGCATCATCTGACAAATAAATCTTTACACAGGAATGAATATTTATGTTGTATATCAATAAAGCATGAAGTGGCTAATAATATTTAGATACAGTATTTATATCTAAATTCACCGCTAAATTTATCATTTCTCGCTTTGAATTCCACATCAAAGAAATTGTACCGTCGCAGTGCAGAAAACTAAGCAGAGAGTGTATTTCCGTGATGTATTTTAAAAATAGTTCTTTTCTTTGAAATAAACATTAAAGCCAATTGTAACAAAGGAATATAACAGCTGGGTAACATTAAGCATTCAGTATCCCGATTGGCTCGTTTACGTACACGTGATCCTACTTGGCTGCTTGCCACTAAGTACATATATTTGCCAACATTCAACCGAATGGGTCGTGGCTTATTTAACAAAGCACCAATTTATTTAACCTTAGATGTTTATTGCGACTTACTCGAGATTTCCATTGGGAATCTAGAAAAGAGACACAGGAAACATTCAGATCTAGAAACAAAAAAAATATATCTGCCTTTATTTATGGAGTAAAGCTCTGTGGGAAAATCATTTTCTTTGCTTCGTTTTTAATTGATTTTTATTTACATTTTTAGCGATTTATTTCAATGGATCATTCGATTTTTGAAATATTTTTTGTCATCCTCAGCCACTCGAGAAAAAAATATTTTCAAAGTTCTGCATGCCTATATGCATATATGCATATATGACAATGCCAACAGATATTTTTATAGATATGAATCAGAAAGGCATAGTTTTATATATATATATATATATATATATATATATATATATATATATATATATATATATATATATATATATATATATATATATATATGCTCACAACTGTATATATATATAATATATATATATATATATATATATATATATATATATATATATATATATATATATATATCGGAGAGCCAAGTTTGAATTCCAGTCGAATCCATTACATTCAGTTACGTGCTAATACCCTTGGGAAAGTTATTAATCCTCTTCTCACTCTAGCTATGGGTAAATAGCAGGAAAAACTGGGGTTCTATAGCCTTGAATGGCAACTGGTCTAGCATAAGGACAACTCTGAATTTAAAACCTGTGGAGGGTCATTTGGGAACCTTGTGGCATGTAGTGCACCAGGTCTCTGTATTCGGCCCTTTAAAAAGTCTGGTTGGATCTGCACAAAGCCTTCACCACTCTAATCAAATCATATGTGCTAGTGTCTGGGCTGTCGGTTCATAGAAACTGAGCTGCTATTCGTGGAATACAACTGGAGAGTTCACTATCTATCTATCTATCTATCTATCTATTTATCTATCTATCTATATTTAAATATATTTTTGTAGGTACAAAATTTAATGATCGAAATAAAAGTATAAAACTTAATATTACGAGACATATAAAAAAAAACAAAAAAAACGGGTGAAGCAACCGGTTTCGCTCCCGCTCTTCAGGCTTCAACGGGAGATTTAAAATTGACACAGAAAAATGTTCAATAAAAGGAATTGTTTTTTTAATATGTCTCGTAATATTAAGTTTTATACTTTTATTTCGTTCATATATATATATATATATATATATATATATATATATATATATATATATATATGGTGACCTCTCTCGTCGTATTCGGTGTAAGAGGTTTACTAGGGGCCGACAGCCAGACACCAGCATATATAAACATAAGTGATTGTTGATAGCAGTTTGGTGAAGAATTGTGAAGGTGACGGTTCGACCAAATTTTTTTTTTTAAATTGACAGCAACGGTTAAGGGCTTTAGGCACATCACTTCCAAGCCTCCTAAGAGTGATCAGTGAGGGAGGAAAGGTGGGAATAGGACAGAGTAAGACAATGGAGGGATACGTTTAGACGATGGCTGTAGTAATAATTGGAAACGATTTTGGTAACTTTAAAACAAAGCCGGAACTGAATTCCGCATATTTAGGCTGGAGTTATTGCTACTCGTTTTGTAATCAATGAATGGCTTTTGTAAATTACTAAATTAAGAGGTAGAGATTTTTCTTGCTATGTTGAATACGTAAGTTATTTGTTTTTTTTTTTTACATTAGTTTTAGTTCAGAATTTTAGATATAAGTAGAAAGGTATATAAAAGTATGGGATGTTAATATAAATTTTATAAGCAAATTTTGACCTATTGTCGGACTGTATAATTTGTAGAATAAGTATGGATGTAAATCAATTTATCCGATACTATATATATATATATATATATATATATATATATATATATATATATATATATATATATATATATATATTTTGGATTGATATGATATTTATATACACATTTTTCACATACATTGAGAGCTTTCTAATAATACATAGTATATATATATATAAATAATTATATATATATATTTATTTATATTTATATACACACTTTTCACACACACACTTTTCACACACACACACACACACACACATACACACACACACACACACACACATATATATATGTATATATCTGTGTGTGTGTGCAAAAAATCATTTTAAGAATCATAGTCTAATAGATTAGTAGAAAGGTAGAGGTATATAAGAAGGTAGAAAGTATATCAAAGGAGGTAAGTTATAATTTTAAACGTTTAAGGATATGGATTTGAAAGTTTAACAAAATTGTAAAGTCAGATGATCTTTAATATGCTTACAAAAATTTTTGATTTAATAATTAGCTGTTGTTCAAAAGCTTAATTATACATATTTTCCTGAAAACAAACAAAGATTCGTTCAAAGAGTAGCAAGTTCTGGTTTATTTTATGTTTTTCCCTTTAACCTTAGGTGTTTTCCTCCTTCACTTTCCAAAAGTGTTTAGAAAGTGATGTCATATTGTTTTTGTCTATATGAAAAATTATAATAAATAATTATTGCTCTACTATCGGTATTGAGCCCTCTTTAGAATTAATGCTGTGAACGTTAGAATTTATATATTATTTTCGTTCTCATTACATTCGGATACACACACACAAATAATATATATATATATATATATATATATATATATATATATATATATATATATATATCAAGAACAATTTTACGAAAAAAAAACTATTTCAAAGTGGAAAATTTTTTGGCGTGATGCGTTTTGACCTTTAGGACTTGATTTGACTAAAGTGATGTTCACGTTGATGCCATTACGCATAGGATTCTACATTTGCGAATAAAATTGCTCACTAGCTGCCAGAGAGAATCTGTTCATATAAGAGAGCGCACTCAGGTCAAAACAGTAAGTTTCATACGTGAACTCACTCTACAGTCTATGTAGGTTTAGTAGTAGGTTGACTATTGATATATGCTAGTCACAGGTGCATTATGAGTAGCAAGTTCGAAGAAACGAAAATAGAAAAAAAAGTTATAAAACATTTCTGTTAGGTAAATAAATGACAAAGTAGAAAAAATTTGTGACTCTAAATATGTAAATGATGAAAGGAAATACAATGAAAGTACTTGTAAGTTCCTAATTATTTCATATTCAAAGCAAGACAGAAGGATCGTGAAATATTTCAATTTAAAAGAATGAATCATGCAAGTAGATCTTTACCAATCAACATAAACAATTTAAAAGTTTTAAAATCTGAAATTTGTATTGTATGAATACTTCTGTCAACCATTAAAATAGATAAATAGGATTTATTTCCATTTGATCAATTTTTTCTGTTTTCTATGAATATTTAGTTATTATGATTCTTTGTACAGTTAATTATATGAAAAGTAGGTCTATTCATTTGTTAGTTTAGGATGATTTTATGTTTTTAATTGGGTGTGTGGGTTTTGTGTATGTAAGATACATACAAAAATACACACAGTCCATACAGCCAATTAAATTGAAAAAATAAAATCATCCTTGATAATGGCTAAAAGTATAGCCGAAAGCGCCCGGAATTATAGAACATTTTGGACAGTTTCTACACACTCTGTGTCCAGAAAAGAAAACATTTGTTCAAACACAAGAAAAATTAAATAAAAAGCTTAATCGTAGTACCTTGTCTGTCGTCTTTAATGAAACATGTATAAATGAAAGTTAGCTCCCTATATAAACAATATATATATATATATATAATTATTTTTTTAAAAATATGATTTCTTCGCTACATAAGAATTCTCATGTTTCAAAAACAAGTTCCAAAAGCTCTGATTCATCCTCAAGCGAAATTTTTTTGAATAACTAATCTTCAAGTTTACGCATCTTTATAAGCATATAATTCGTAAAATTAATTACTATGTAAACGGCTGAAGCGACAAGTCCAATAGGGGGGGGGCGTAAGGGTTTACAATTTGTATCAAAATATCAGTCACCCTCGGAAAGAGGTCAAGCTTAGGCAGGGTCGGAGTGTCCATTTTAAAAAAAAAAGAGATTTTGGCTTTTTGTAACATGAGAACTCTTATGTAGCGAAGGAATCATATTTTTAAAAATAATTTTAATTATAATTTAGGCTCTACTTTTGTATTGAGCACTGTTTTTACCTAACGTGTTATTTTCCTATGTTTCTATATATTTGCACACACACACACACACACACACACACACACACACATATATATTATGTTTATTTTAATACATTTAATAGACTGGTATAAAAAAACCTCGGATAATACAATTTGCAAATAAAAATATATTTAAGCAAAACTGGTATCTGGAGAAAAAAATTGACAAAATGCATAGACTAAAAACATCGAAGTTCGTCGAAAAAAATCGCCCATCCCAGCAATGCCTAGCCAAAAGAAAAAAAAAACAGTCGAGTAAAAGAAGAAAAAACGTAAAATGCTAAATACACTAAGTAGAGCAAGGTATAAAAAAAATCCTAGTAATACCTAGGTGCCGCGTAAATGAATCTTCAGGGCCAACTATATATATATATATATATATATATATATATATATATATATTGTTGTGGGGCTCGCCCATTTTTACATACGATGGACTCGTCCAAAGTATACTTATACTGACAGAGAGAATACCTGCTGTTGAGATACGTTGAGACGCAGTCTGTCGAACTCTCTGCTTTGGCAGAGAGGAACCCGTACGAAACTTTGCCCTTCGGCAAAGCTTCGTCCGGGGAGGTAGACAGTTCCCTTATGCGGGTTCAAAGGGGATATTTTTTGGCTGAGCCTACGGGCTCGGAGAAGCTCACGTTAAACTCGGCCTTGTGCCACATACATTCCTCGTGTGTGGACTGTTAAATATCGAGATACGTTGAGATACGTAGAGATACGTTGAGACAGGTTGAGAGATACGGAGACAGACACAGGGTGTTTTCAGAGAGTTATACAAGAGTCCAGAGAGAGAGAGATGATTACGGCTTTACTTACGGAGACTTGTACATATACTTTCTACTAACCTGCATTTCTGGACTACTAATCTTCACTTCAAGTCTGTACGTTAATACACTTATTTTTCTTTTCTCAATTTCTGGTGTTTTTTATTTATTTGTGCAGGATTCCATTCCCGGAATCCACAACATTTATAGTCATCCCCAGACTATTTTGCTGTATCACAGCTCTTCAGTGTGGCTAGAAGTTCGATAGCTTCAAGCCGGGATGAAAACGTGACCGCTTTGGTATCAGAGATTCTACCCCTAGCCTATCGTTTCACGGCAGAGAGGAAGGGACATTTTATCGTTTTATATGCAAAATACGTCAATGGCCCGGAGAGCTCAATTCAATTCGATTGAAGAGCAATTCTTTAATAGCGGTATGAGACACTGTTTTTAAAATTACACTTTTCTCAAGAGAGCTCAACAGGATTTCCCGGGAGCATATATATATTGTCATACACAGAGAGGCTGTCTCGCTGTATCACTGCTCTTCAGTGTGGCTAGACACTGCTTCGATTCTAATAATTTTTGGAGATAATAATAATAATACTTTACTGACACAATTCTAACATATTAACCAATAGTTGACAGGAGAGAAAGAAGTGGGTTCATACTTTTCCCAAAGGTATTTACATGAATATAAAGTTATAAGTGAATATAGTGAACGCTTGTGAAAATGAAACTCGGTTCTCCAACTTCCTATTTCGAGTCGTTAATCATTACACCACTCGCACATCCAAACTTACAGGACCTGGTATTCCCAAGCGTATAAGAAAGAGAAACAAGAAGTAAAAATTAGGCGAAAAGAGAAAGAAAAGAAAGAAAAATACTGAACAATTAGGTAAGTTAAAGCTCATTTATATAAGAAAATTACCTTCTCTTTTTTTATCGAAAAAGAAGGAAATATTTCTAAAAAGTTGTAGAGTCAAACTAGAAAAAAACCTCCCAAAAAACAAAAAAAAAAAATATTTTCTCGATAGAGATTTCTGCCTACTGTGT